CGGTAGAACCCCCGGCCGCCTCTCCCCCTCCCCCCCCCCGACGGTCTCAACACGCGTTCCGGCGCGTGTGAACGCAGGCGGAGTTGGAAACTCCCGACCCACGATCGGTCCTCCCCTCCACCCCACCCGGGAGTTCAAGCCTTGGAAATCAACTCGCGTTCACACGGGAAGGCGGCCGAAACGGTGGCGTAGCCTCGAATTTGGGGTGGGGTGGGGGTCGAGCGGCCGGGCGAGAAGGGGAGGGGGTCATGAGATGATACTGCGTCCAACCCACAAACTCCTGCATTTTGCATTTCCCAAGGATTTTAAGCATCCCCTATAAATAAACCAGAAGAAAATTGGGACTCTCGTCCCCTTCCAAATATTCTAAATTGGGACTTATTTTTTTAACGGCTTAAAAAAAAACCCGCCAGTAAATTCTCGGGTGTTCTGGCTCGACGGATTTCTGGATCCCAGCGCTAGGACGGGGGGCGGGGGAGCCCCCTCAACTCTACATCTCTCGCTCATCCTTACCCCAATCCTTTCCTGATCCTCACAAACTAATTGGGCCCTTTTATAACTTTCCCGTCTCTCTTCACCTCCTCCGACCTCTTTTCCTGGCTTGGCGGCCACGGAGGAAAACCCCCGATTCGCATTCCCTTGGTTTACTCGAGAGAAAATCCCAAGTCAGTGCCGTTCCTAGGATCGCGGATCTCCGCTTCTTTCCGGTCCCCCTCCCCTCCTTCTCCTTGATCTGGACTTGGAGACGAGAGGCTCTTGGTGGAAATCTTTTTCAATATATTTTCCTCCCGCCCGCCCAGGAATCTGCAGACTGAAACTGAAATGGACGCATTCTGTTATTTTCTTCTGGAGGGTTTTCCAAGGAGAGACGAGGGGTGGGGGGGGGAGAGGGAGGCATGGGCTTTCTTTATTGAAATCATCATCATTTCAGGCTCTCTCCCTTGTCTCTCCCCCTTGTACCTTTCCTAAATCCCATTTTTAAGGGATCGGCCTTATTTGCCGAGGATCGCGGCTTGTTCCGCATCTTTCTGGGGTAAAGGGGATTGGTTTAAGGTCTTCCTCCCCCTGCCCGCCCCATAGGGCAGTGAGGTGGGGGGAGTGGGGGGGGGAGCAAGAGAATTGCAAAGAGACGAGATGGCGATCTTTTAAGAAAGCCTAGTTTGTTTGACCGGGGATTATTGGAGCGGTGATGTGTTTGTTGCATGTGTGTGCGTGTGTGCGTTGGGGGGGGGGGAGGACAAGAGAGAGACGCATCTTTTCTGCTTCCCAGACCAGCCCCTCTTAGAAACCCGCCACCCACCCTAAAGGACGGCCCTGTGTTAGTGTCCACATGGAGATTTCTCTTGATTGGCGTCAGGGAAAGGGGGGGAGGAGGGGGGAGAGTTGAGTCAAGAGCCCCTTGGCGCCAGGAGTTTGAAGTGTCCACAATTAAAAAGTGACAAGAGCGCAGAACCTTCCTCTCCCCCTCTTTTTTTTTT